TGAGGAATCATTGAGTTTTGGGATTGATTATTGTGCATACATGTGTTTCAATTTGCAGGTTATATTCCATTTTTCGATTCCTAAACAATGTCTAATCCCAAACGCCCAAGGACTTCGTCAAGTCATTCTCATTCAAACCAACCTCCTAATCCCGTTCCTCCTCCACCTTCAACTCTATTAGGATCTTGTTTTAACATGCCTGAGCGTCGTAGAGACAAATTGTACTCTAGGTACAAAAATTCTTTCCAAACTTATATAATTCGTGAAGAGCGTATTCCTTCGCTTCAAACCATGGTTGACATTGACTTTGAATACCTTTCGACTCTTAAAGCTTGGAAGTTTGATAAATTATTTCAGCTTAAACCTATCGTCTATCAACAATTGGTCCACATTTTCTATTCCAATGCGGTGTGTATTCAAAATGAAACTCAATGTGGAACTATAGCCATTAGATCCTATCTTTTAGGCCAATATATAATATTGACCCCGAGACTATAGCTTTCCGATTTGGTTAGATGATAGTGGTGTATAATGAGAATGAAAATGTGGAATATCCCTATGTTCCAAACGCCAGTGTTAGTACTCTACGATCTCATCATGATCGTTTTCTCCATTTGATGATCTCTTGGTGGTTTAGACCATCGGAGGTAGGTACTCCACACTTCGTGCTAGGATTTATGGTGGATGTATGTATAAAAAAAAATCAAAATAAATATGCCCCACATTATTTTCAGTCAACTAGTGGACATCGTAAACATTGTTCCTTCAAAACATGTTGAAACATTGATTTATGGATGTCTTCTTAGTAATCTCTTTATCAAACTTGGTCTAGAAGTCTCTCTCGACAATCCTATCCCACTCCAAAATCAATCAATCTCACATCCCTGAAAAAGCGGATTGGAAACAAGACGAGGTAACAAGTCAATGGGTTTTTAGACCTGGAAAATAAACTCCAGGAGCTAGTTCCTCACGAGCTGCTCCTAGCTCCTCTCGTGTTCCTCCTCCTCCTCCGGTTCCGACTTCTGACGATGATCCTGAATTTCAACGACTTATGCAAGACATCGATGATCACGTACCTGATGACGAGCCTGCACCGGAACCAGCTCCACAAGAAGATCAAATGCCTCCATATTTTCGTTCATTTTTTGAGACATTTGATTTACGGTATGCGTCTATGGATTCACGCTTCACATTCATTGAGTCCTAGCTCTCTACTGGGAGCTCGACAATAAGATATGAATGATCGTTTGGATGCACTCACGCTTGAGATGAGAGCTAGTTACCCTCTACTCCTCCCGATCCTTCTATGGATGAATAGACTTATTTTGCTTTGATTGTTTTTGGGTTGAACTTGAATTTAAATTGTTAAAACATTTTGGATTGTCTTTCTTTGATTGTTAGATGACTGTTTGATGGATATTTGAACTTTTATTTCATATATATATTTTGGTTTGTTTCAATATATGCATCATTTACCTTTTAGTTGAAATATGACCAATTTACCATTTCACATTTTATTATGAATATTGATTATGAAACTAATGGCTAATCTCTCTTTTGATTGTGATCTTAGCAGCTTAAGATATATATATCAATTGGCTATGTTTTTCAAAACCTTGTATAAATCGATTTTAAGTCTTTTTGATTAACAAAAAGGGGGAGAAATGTTATGTTTTAAGGGAGAAGTGTTATAGTAAGGGGGAGTGATTTTTCAAAATTGATTTCAAATTTTAGAAAATCTTAAATTAACATAAATGTTTTGTTATATCAAAAAGGGGGAGATTGTTGAAAACATTTTTGTATTTCGATATAACAAATTAGTTTAAATAATTTTAAGATTTTACAAATGATTTTCTAAATATATTCGATTCAAATCGAATATCAAATTATTACTCCAAGTCTTTTAAGATCAATTTCAAACCATACTAAATGTGTAAAATTATGTTTATATTAATATATTTTTTAAAACAATTTTCACAAAGTATTTTGAATCAAAATCAAGCCTAAAATCAAATTTTCAGAGTGATGCACCAATCCATGCATCGATGCACATGAATTAAATTGAACATCGAATGCATTTCATGCATCGATGCACTTACCATGCACCGATGTACAAAGGATTTTATGAAAACATCGAATGCATTTGATGCACCAGCCATGCATCGATGCACTCTGGCTATTTTGAAACATCGAATGCACTTGATGTATCGATGCACTCTTAGTGCACCGATGCACTAAGGGTCAACGGTCAAAATATTTGAATTGTACACTGATGCACCGATGCACCATGGGTATGCATCGATGCACTGACGCTCCCAACTGTTTTAATTAATTGTTTTCACACTTAAGCGGCTCTATTGACTCCACTAATCATCCCCAACGTTCAGAAGTGATTCAAGGTGTATTTAAACAAGCTTAGAAGCCATTGATCAACAACAAGCAACTAGAATCAAGAGAAAATCAAAGAGAAAGCATCAAACCTCAAGTTTGAGCATTTCAAGCCTATTTTTCATTCAATATTCATCTTGCTTTCAAGAACACTTATTGTGCTCAATTGTATTTATTCTTGAGTGTTCTTTCTTTGTTCTAGAATTGTGCAAACATATTTGCCTTGTGAGGTTTTTCTTGTAAGTTTGCAAATTTGTAATCTTCTCTTTGAGAAAAGAGTGTTCTCAAGAATTGGGGTATATTCTTGAGGGTGTTGTAAGGTTATCTCTTTGGCCTCAAAAGAAAGAACAAATTAGTGAATTTGTTGGAAAATCCTTAGTGTGGATAGCTAAGGTAGTGGACGTAGACTTTGGTTGATAAAGTCAAAACCACTCTAAATCGTTGTGTAAATCTTTTCAATTTTCTGCAAAAACTTCCACCAAAATTTTAATTGCCAATTCACCCCCTCTTGGCCCATTCCATCAGTCGATTAACTTAACAGTTTGGCACAACACTCACATCCATCATTAGTAGAAGAAATTGTAAAGTTTCCAGAGGAGGAATTAGTTTTGTATTCTGGTTGAAACTGCCCTTGATTATTAGATGTAACACAGGAGAAGTCCTTATCATATCTATGCCAACAATGATCAACCAAGTGTCCAACTTTTCCACACAGTTGGCACTGAATCCTAGATCTTCCACGACCACTTCCACCACCTCGATAATTAAAGGAATGGCCAGACCTCTTATCAAAATTCTTAGCCATCAATGAAGTATTTCGTACATTGCCCTGTGCAACATTTTCACTCATAGGTAGGGAATCAAGTTGATCATCAAAGCTTGCTAGTTGTGTTTCTGCATCAATTAGCATTGTAGAGATGATGTCTAATGACAAGGTTTCCCTCATGGATGTGATGATTGCCATGAAGGATTGATATTCTCGAGGAAGCCCTTTGAGAATGCTCGCAATTTGCTCAATTTGTGAGACAGAGCTGCCACAAGATGCTAGAACATCACATACCTCCTTCACCCGAGTGAGGTACGTTCGTATTCTGTCACCACCTTTTTTCAAAGATTGGAGTTTATAATGAAGAATCATGACGGTTGTCGTTGATCGATTGACAAAGAAGTTGAGCACAGTATTCCAAATAGTTACTATCGTTTCAGCACCAACGAATTGGGGAAGAAGGTGAGGACTGATCGTGGACAGTGACCACGATGCAAGGGCACTATCTTCAGCCACAAATTCTTCATACTCATCTTTGACAGGAATCGTGCCATCGTCATCAACCACAGTTTATGGTGGAGTCACTGCCGCACCAGTAAGTAGCCGCTCCAAGCGATGACTTCTAATGGTAAGCAAAATCTGTTGCTTCCACAGGAGGAAATTCAACTCGTCGAGCACCACATTTACTTTCTTGTGAGTAAATTCCTTCGAGTTCGTTGTAAACTCCATCAAGAGTTACTTACGCAGCGAAAATCAATCATAGAGCCCCAAGATCAATGGCGATTGATACCATGTTGGAAGGAGGGTGAAGAATTATGAAAGAATTAAGAAAGGAATCCTTGAATTGATTACAAAGCAATGAGGTTGTTTTATACACATTTCAGCAGCTCATAACTGCTCTTAACAAGCTAACTAATCTTAACAAACGAACAACTTCCTAACTTCCATTTAACAACTTATGCCAACATGGCATGGCATGCAACACACACCTCCTAACCTTATTAATAGAATGATGTTCGTATTTTTAAAAAAAAAGTTAGAGATAAAAATATATATAGATTTAAATTTTTAGAAGAAACAAACAACAATAGAATTATATTTTATTAAGTTGCCCTAGTTACATTTATAATTTTATAGAATTATTAATTTATAATATTGAAGGAACCATAAATTTATATAAGGGTCATCTAAAAAATTATTTTTATAAATTTATCAAAATGTTCTATCAAAAAAAATTATCAAAATTATTAATGTAGACCTAGGGTCCAAGTAAGAACCTAGAGAAATTATTAATTTATTGAATATTAATTTATAGAGGTTCTATTGTAATAATAAGAACGTATGTAAAATTTTATATTGAAAAAATATAAAAATTTAGTAATATATAAATTTATAAAATTTTAGAATAATAAAAAATAGATTATTAATAGAAATTATTAAAGAAATGTCTAATTTTTAGGAGAACAACTCTAGATCAATTCAATGACAGATCTACATCAAATCTAGGATGGGTACATATCTATAATAAAATATAGATTTTTTTCGATTAATTATTTATTTTATTAGAATTGTCCATCTTAAAATTTTATGTATAAAATTTTATATTTTTATCGTATGTTTATTCAAAAATTTTTGAATAAGTATTGGATCCATCATTAGATGGTAGGTAAAATTTTCTCTACTTTATTTCTCGAGATGGTTCCAGTGGGGCTTTTTCTCCACCAGATATTCCCCGGCAAGCCATATTTTCTCATTTTCTCGTATGTTTCACGCCTAACCCCTCTCGGGTACTAGTTTACTACTAGTATTACTCCTTTGTTCTCTCCACCGGCAATGTTTGGGCTATAAATACGAAGTATACTTGTCTCGTTTTCCACACAAAACACGAGAAACCAAACACGACTCTCTATTTCTTGTTTCAGTCATGGCTATCTCTAAGGCTTTGATTGCCTCACTTTTCGTATCTCTTCTCCTTATCCAACTTGTTTATGCTGATCAACTGGTAAACCTTGATCACTTCTTTTTTCTTTTGTTTCCTTTCTTTGTTTGAACAATTGTTTGCGAGCAGTAACCTTAATTTAAGCTACACGTTGATGTGAAATACAGGTGACAAGTGCCAGTAAGGGAACCACCGCCCCAATGAAAATCGGTAAATAGGATCGATCCTCGATAGTATCCGGAAAACTAGGCTGAGACCCTTTATTGACATATCGATTTGCGTTTGGTTTTTTCAGACTGCGGTGGGGCTTGTGCGGCGAGGTGCCGGTTATCGTCGAGGCCGCACCTATGCAAGAGGGCGTGCGGGACATGTTGCTCCCGCTGCAACTGTGTTCCTCCGGGTACTGCCGGTAACCAAGAAATGTGCCCTTGCTATGCTAGCTTGACCACCCACGGTGGCAGACGCAAGTGCCCTTAGAGTTTTTAATCAACTTGGATTGGAACGAATCTTCTTCTAAGAGCTCTGTGGTGAAGTAAACGAATTGCATGGTGTAAGAATAAATAAAATAATGTGTCGTACGTAAAGCAGAACTCATTTCTTTTCCCTTTTCTTTTCGGCAACATTATATGTTTAATTACTTGTTATTTTTATAGTTTGAATATATTATATTTTAATTAATAATAATGAAGTTTGTAATTCTATTTGCTTCCGTTTACGTGAATTGTAGTTTAAATTTTAATGCATGTACGTATGTTTCTAGGGCAAATGATCAACCTTGGGAAGAGAGCCTGAAATACACCTTAAAAAAATGAATGATTACATGCCTAATTCCTTTAATCGGAATTAAAGGATGAGTTGTAAAAGCCTAGAACATAATTATATATGCTTAATTCCTTTAAAGATATGCTTAAATCCTCTGCCCCCACTGTGTGGCTCCACGAAAATTGTCACATCAATACGATTTTATTAATAAAAAAATATTTATTTTATTATTTTTTATCAGTAATTTTTTCCATATTTTTCTTCAATTTAAAAATATTTTTTTTGAAAGTTACCATACAAGTAGATTGTTGACATGAAAAAATAAAAGAAACAATTTCAATTGATAATAGTCATGATTGATATGATGATGAAAATTCATTATATAAATTTTTGGTGACTTTATTTTTACCTTATCAATCTAGAAATGGAAGAATTTCAATAATAACTGAGTTGGTGTTCTTTTTTTTACTTTGACCAGAGCATTAATGGTGTTTGTTTTGTATCAGCCATAGAAAGAGCTGTATTTCTAATAAATATCACCCATAGAACCATCAGCATGAATAGTAATTAAAGATTTAAGGGTGAGTTTAGTTTACGGAATGTAAGATTACCAGTGGGAATAAAAGATTACCACGAAATTAGATTGTATTTTGTGTTTGGTTGGTTTAGCAGGAATGTAAGATTACCGTGTTTGGTTAAATGAATAAAAGATTATTGGAATGTATATTTGACCAAATTGTCTTTATTATATATATATTTGTATAATATTACAAGTTGTAAAATATTTATATATTTTCTTTAAAAAATTAAATTCATAATATTTATATATATATTTTTTACAAAATTAGAAATATAAAAAAGGTTTAATGAAATGTTAAAATTTTATTTTAACCCATGAACTTCATATACAATTTTAATTATAGATTTTTTTTGTAAATCTAAAATAATTTAAGGATAAATTTGTAATTTAACCTTCGTAGAATTTTTATTATTCAATGACAGAAGAATGATATTTTTGAAAATAAAATAAAAATTTAAGGGCATTTTATCCAAAACGTCGGTAATGTTACAATACCTAAGGAATGGAGGAAATGACATTCCCGGTAATATACCCCAAAAAATCACTATTGATAATAAAACATTACCGGGAATGACATTCCCGACCAAACCAAACGGAGGAATGTAGATTCCATTCCCCCGTCCAAACGACCCCTAAAGGTAGAAAAATACAAACCTTTTTGCTGGTCTCTTGAATCTCTCCAGCAACAATATGAATTCGAGTATCAGATAGACCTGGGAGAATTTCCAGCGAAATGGTAAATCGCATTACAGAATCATGACGCATGGGATATAAACTCAAATTTGTATCAGTAATCAGAAAAGCCAACATCAACAAACCAGGTAACGCATCAGTGCAGGCAAGGAGCCAGAACTAGCTTTCACATGTACAAACCAGGTAACTGCAAAAAGCAATTTGAAAAGGTTTGAGTGCACAAACTTTTATCAACAAATATAAAGTTTTTGAAAGTGGCAGCTTCATAAGAATCGGGTGGTAAATTTCAATCCGCCAGGTTAACAATAACTATCATAACTGTGAAAAATTAAAGACCAAGTCGAGCTCGCAAACGTTACTGAAAAATTAATGATCCAATATCTCCACAAATAAATGGATACTTTCCAAGTATGCCAACTCATTTATAACACACAAGGAGAAGAACAATTCAGCATACCGCCTGTAGATTACCTTGTGTGTACGAAACTGCAATAAAAAGTACATGCATAAAATCAATCAAAATTCAGCAATTGCATACTGATTCTATGTATGGGATAAAGATGTTATATATTCATAATGATTCTGCTTTTTTAATACTACAACTTGGCTAAAAACTGTAAAATAACTAGAAGGGTGAATGCTTATACAAATAGAAGCAAGTCGTTGATTTCACAATTATTGGATCTACTTATACACTACAGAGTACATAACATTGCAATCCGGAGTTAAAATCTAAATTACAGACAGTTTTACACTTGTACCAAAATACAATTGGATAAAGAGATCAAATACCAAGCAATAATTTTCCTTCCCGAATCTATGACTATGAGGTGTACCTGCTTAATGATTCCCCAAGAGAGCAGCCTCAATCCCAGATCCATCCTTGGAATGCTCTATCACAATTTTCCGAGATGTTTCAGGTCAAGAAGCTCTGCTACAGCCTCTTTTAAGTATCTTCTATACTGGGAGTACCGCTCATACAAGCCTCCATCCATTGCCACCACTGTTCGTCTCCCGAAGATGGCACCTTTTGTATCCTCTATCTTTTGAAGAATCCCCACTATTCCAGCACCAGCTAAAGCTCGCTTCACAATGGTGTCGCAAACCTCTAGGACAATCTTCCTTGAATTTAGGTTGGACTCTGTTACAAACTAGAGTAAGAATAGTAAAGCACTATATCAGAAAGTACAATGAGAGGTGTTTTCTTTATTGATCCATAGCACTGTTTTTATACAAGAATTACACAGCAAGCTAACTAAAGCTTCTATCAACTGCTCATAACAGCTATGCTAACAACTTCCTAACTGCATAAATACCTACACACGTCAGAAACATATTAAACACTCAACATTCTCTCTACCTTTTCTTCCTCCCCAAAAAAAGACTAACATCAGCAACATATTCAACACTCAACATTCTCTCTACTTTTTCTTCCTCCCCAAAAAAAGACTGAACATTAACTATAGTTTTAAACACTCCAAACTGAGCTACAACCAGGGGCTTTGTAAAGCCATCAACAACTTGATGACTACCGGGCACATAATTCACCACCACTTGTTTCAATGCAACCTTCTCACTAACGAAATGAACATCAAGCTCTCCATGTTTACTTTTTGCATGATAGACAGGATTGATTGTCATGGCAACATCACTGCTGTTATCACACCTAACAATTGGTATCTTCCGCCTTACAACACCCAAATCAGTCAGAAGAGCACTCACCCACGTTGTTTCAAAAGTAACGTCAGCAACACTCTTGTACTCAGCCTCCATTGTGGATATGGAGATTGACTTTTACTTCCTAGAATTCCACATGACTAGATTATCACCTACAAACAAACAATAACCAGAAATGGACTTGCGATCATCAGTGTTTGCAGCACAATCAGCATCGGCAAATGCTACAACATTAAAATCTGCCACTGCAGGTTCCAAACCATGATTAAGTGTTCCTATCAAATACCTCAAGATTCTTTTAACAGCAACAAGATGTCCTTGCCTTGGAGAATGCATATATTGCGCAACCTTATTAACGCTAAATGCAATGTCTGGTCGACTGTCTGCCCAACGAACAAACAACGATGTATCTGCTGAAGATTCTTTAAAACCAATTCGAACTAGGAAACTCTTAAGCTTGCCATGCCAGTTTCGAGGAGCTTGACGTAGACCGTACAACGCCTTCTACAATTTACACACCAAAGGACTACCATCAACAACCACTTGTTCGAATCCGAGCGGCTGTTGCATGAAATCCTCCTCATGCAGATCACCATGCAGAAATGCATTATTCACGTCCACCTGACGCAGTTGCCAGCCATTCGTTACAACCAATGACAGGACAACATTTAGAGTTGCAAACTTAACAACTGGGCTAAAAGTCTCACCAAAGTCATGTCCTAGCACTTGTGAGAATCCTTTAGCTACTAACCTAGCTTTGTATCTGCTAATAGAACCATCAGATTTCTTTTTTAACTTGAAAAATCATTTACACCCAACCACTGACCGTCCTTCAGGGAGCTTCACAAGGGTCCATGTACCATTTTTTTCGCAAAGCTTCAAATTCAGCATGAACTACAACTCTCCAATGAGAAGACTGAAGTGCCTCATACACATTTACAGGTTCCACATCATCATAGCTAGCCAAATACAACTTAGGCTGAAATATATAACATTTACTTATTGTCAGCATCGAATACATCAAATGACGATTCAAAGAAATACCACCACCATCCAGTGAACCTTCACCATTACCAACCCTTGTAGCAGTTATTTGTAATGAATGAGCAACGTTGTCAAGGGGAACAGAAGCTGCCACAGACTCCACTCGATCCACTAACTCATTATCCTCAGCGGCACTGACTGAGGTTGCACCACCTACCTCTTGTTGAACTCCTGCTCCCAGAGAAGTATCATTCGTATCTACAGTAGGCTGACCCATCTGACCAGAATCTTCAGCAACACTATATGTATTTGCACCAGCTACCTCTTGCTGAACTGCTTCTCCCAGAGGAGTAACACCCACATCCAAAGTAGCCTGACTCATTTCACCAGAAAAACGAGACTCTTGTACTACACAAGTCCCACCGGTTCGAAACTAACGCATATCAGTCATAAGTTCAAGTGTTGTGGACTTCTGTTTACAAGATACATAAGCATTACTTGAACTACCAGTCCCTGCAAATGGAAAAACAAAGTCATAAAAAATTACATGTCTAGAAACATATATCTTGTCACTGGCTGCTAAACACATATAACCTTTGTTCTGAGGGCTATAACCTAAAAAAGTACATGATTGAGATCAAAAGTCAAGTTGGTGTTGTTGAAACACTCTTAAGTGAGGAAAACACGTGCACCCAAAGACCTTCATGAACTCATATTCTGGTTTCTTCCCCCACAACTTCTCGTGTGGTGACAACCCATTCAAGACCTTAGTAGGAAGCCTACTAATGAGAAATATTGCAGTAACAACTGCATAATACCAATAACGTAAAGACATAGCAGCCTGAGCTAACAACACCAAAGCAAGTTCAATGACATGTCGATGCTTCCGTTCTGCCACAACATTCTGCTCGGATGTGTGAGGGAAAGCAACACGATGAATGATCCCATCTTTCAACAAAACAGACGAGAGGTTGCGATACTCCCCACCATAATCACTTTGCACAGCCTTCA